ATTTTTGAAATTAGTATCGCCAGATACTGGTGACCACCATGGCTTCAGTGAGGAGTCAAGCGCCGGTCATTGATAACCAGCATGGCAGTCAACGTGTTAATGACTGGCTATGCTAATCGGTCAGGACGAGCCTGGTCATCGAATCGACGTCCATGTCGAGGTAATTTCTTCCACCCCTATTCCCCGTACTCGGGATTTTAATGAACCCTGTTACGTCGAGTAAATATTGTTTTTCAGCATATCGTTGCAGCGATGAAGGTGGAAGGAAGGCAGCGAGAACAGGCAGAATTGCGGAAGTTCTGCCGCTACTCATTGATTAAAGAGTCGAAGAACTCGGAGGAAAGAAGGCGAGGCCGCGTTTCCTTCTTTTCTCTTAAATATTTATACTTCGTCTTTCTCGAATTCTTTGGCGCGTTCTTATGAATTTCAGCTAGAACGGCCGACTAATTAAACTGTCCCGCGTCCCGATTCCTTCCCCAGACTCGCTAATGACAGGCAAAAAGTAACGCGAGTCTTCTAAATAAAACAGAGATATAAATTAATTTGCAACCGCGAGTTCGTTAAAATTAGAAATCCATGTTATTGGCTGCGGTAATCGCGACATCCTCCGTTGCACTAATTTCGCGATTCGGGATATTGCGTAATACCTGTGTCGCAATATATCGCAACGCTCCGAAGAGACACGTCCGATTGCCAGCGTGGAACAATTAATTCTCGCGATAAAATTGCAATCGACGAGGAGAAAAATTTCCTCGCGCGAAGCTGCTTTACCGATCATCCAATCCCAACTATTCCGTGCCCCATTCTCCCGGAAACCCTCTCCTTGGTAAACATTACAAGCGCAATCAGAGGAAAAATTAATTGTATCCTTCGAGTCCGCCATCCCCGTCCGTCTCGAGTCGCCTCGTTTAAATGCCAAACAAGATGGTGACGGTGCAGCAACATCGGACCCTGTGCCTGCTAATAGCGCGTCCCTTTCGGCATGCCGATCTTCAAAGTCCTCGTTCGATTTCTTGAAGCACTCGAGAAAGCCCGATAAAGCTTTCGCCTGTGTCGCGCTATTCCTCGACTAATCGACTATCGCGAATAATAAACGGCATCTTTGACGATCTCTGCCGAGAGCGTGGCTTAAATCAACATCATCAGACGCGAGTAGATCGGATGTAATTGCTCGGGCTACGATTTAATGGTCCACTCGACACTTCCATCCTATAATCGCTCCGTCCTGCGACCAGCTGTCTCGATAAAAAGCTTCTCCTCCGCTTCTTTCCAACCCCCGCGCGCGCAGGGTGAGATCGTTACCGGTGCCGGCTGACGTGCAGCTTTTACCTGGACACATACCGATACGACGTCGAATCGAGTGCTTCGAAGAGAGGAAGAGAGAGGGGGTGGGTTGGTGAAAATTGAGAATACAATTTGTAAGCCGGCTGTCGATGAATATTAAGCCGATCGGATGCAATTCACCCTCTCGCTGCCTCGACGAATTAGAATAATCACGGGTCCTCGCGAGGCCGATTTTAGATTGCGATCGCTCGTCGACGACGCTCATGTCGAGAGACGGGTCCGACGATCGGTAGAAATTACGCGTGCACGTGGATATAGTTACAGGGGTTTGTTAATGTTTATCGGCTGAGCGCGCGGGTCCGCGCGGATAATCGGCGGGGTGATACGCGTGTTCAGCCGTGCTGGAATCGGCCGAGATAAAGTCGAAATTGTTTCACCGATTAGAGCGAAGATTAGACTAAACGGGGTTTGGATCGCAGCTAGAACTCGAGGTTATTAACCCTGTGAAGTATTGAAATTAGAATCTGCTTTGGAATGGAACGTTTCGGACTCTGTTGGATTACGAAATTCGCTGTTTGAACGCCGATTAGATATGCACCGCGATTATTCTTCATTGGGCGAAGTGAGATAGTTTATTATGCATCTAGACGTATACGTTATCTCGAACGACGTAATACAGGAAGCGTTATGAAAATTGTAAGCTTCGGGGAAACACGCGATACGAATGGCTTTCTTCGCGGATGAAAGTGCAGGAAAGATTGGAAAATTCTGACAGATTTCTCTGTCCGATGTCAAAAGCTCTTATCTCGGCAACCATGGAATAACCGAAACTAATATTTTATATTTACAATTTATGTCATTTACATCTCTTTTGTTTTTAAAATTGGGAAGCTGGAAATATTAAAAAATATTATCGGATGCAGTTCTGCATTTTAAATTGCTTTTGCTATCGTTTCCCTTGGTTTAAATTACAAAATAATCGAAAAGTACGTGTCAAATACGATCCGCGTCAACTTTTACGCATTTTTTAAGTAATAATTCGCTGCATTCGGATTATGGGTTTTAATTGTAAAATAAATACGATATATTAATATACTATTAATACTATTTATATACTATACATACTATTAAAGTCTTTTATTACTCAAAGAAGGTACTGTGAATTTGGTTTTATTAATATGAATGCGAGTGTTTGAGGACGAGTAATGGCACAAATGTAGATAAGTATGATTTTGGAAATGCGAGTGGAAGACCTAAAATGCGTGGTGTTGTGCAGTTGTTATAGATCAGACCCAATATGTTATAAGGAATTTCAGTTTGTTATAAAAATCGTGAGAGTGAACAGTTTGGAGATAAGTCGTGTGTATATTATAATTTATAATGAATATATAATTGTTATAAAGCAAACTCACAAGTATACGTGTCTTTGACTGCTTCTCTTGAGCTACTGACCTACTCAAGGGAGTGTCAAGGGGGTGCGTGACGCGGTTCGCCTAAACCCCCAATTTTTATCGAATATTTCTGTAAATATTCTCGGAATTTAATCTTGTATCTTATAAACAATTTATTCATACCTTATATCCTAAATTGATTTTTGTCTGCAACTAAACTTATCTTTTCAACACGCCCTAACAATTTTAATAAAGTTAAAAGACTCGTATCATCGCAGAATCCATGTTATCTATATTACAAAAATCTCCTGAATTATATAACAGTGGGGAAAAAATTGTTTTAAATAAAAGAATACGTCTGTTGTATAAAAACAAATTTCAAAAAATCAATAAAATTGACAAGCTTCGTTTTTGATATATATCGTTAAGAGATCATATCCACCAGGTATTCGGCCAAGAAGAGCGGATCGCAACTTCAGTGCAGAACAATCCAGCACCTCTCAGAATGTTCGGTGTAAATAACAATCGGCTGTTGAGTATAAAAGGAACGTCTTCCACCGAAGTTCAGAGAGTGCTGTCAACCTTTTCAGTAGGGAAAATCTATTCTGACGTTTTAGAATTCTTCGGCAATCCAGCGATCAAACTTGAAGAATAAGAATTAGACTCGCGATTTGTAACAATATTTACATACTCTGCGATTACTTTCTTCCACTGTCCTAAAAAGAATCTCACACGCAGACGATAATTAAAGTGAAACACGATGAAACCACGCCCGAAGGAATAAATTCGAAGGAAACAGGAATAATCGTCGGAACCCGTGGAATTATCAAGAATCTCATTCGGAATTCAGAGCGACAGAGAATAGATAGCCGAAAGTTCGGGCAGACAGGAATTCCAGGCAACATTATGGAACGGAATAGCAACTTTTTAGCGCGATAATGACTTTCCGGTAAATTAGAATCGATAAGCCGCATCGGTATACCATTTCTAGATCCCGCTAACGATCTTTTTGCCCCGGCCGAACGGTGGCAAACATACGCGACAAAAAGGCCGATCGGGGTCACCTAGTCAAACGCCCCTTTTTATTCGGGCATGTACAAAAATTTCCCATTCGTCCCGCGGCCGGACAATGATTTCGCGCGATTATTAATGCGAAAAGTTTCTCCCATCGCGGGAAGGAAACGGGGCAAAAATTCGCCAAGCCCTCTACCCTTGGATTGTTTTAAACGTCCCGCTTTTGTCCAGATTTTTCGGTTAACGACCAGCGTCGCGTGTTTGCTTTGAAAAATATACCACGAAAATTCTTACCAAAACCCGTCTGTCCTACAAATTGGGTTATACAAATATTTCCGAAAGCTCGGTAATCCCTGGACCCGAAACTGTTTTTGTCGCTTCTCCCTTCTCTTTCTCCCTTTTTTATTTTTTCTATTTTTTATTCACATATTCGTTCTCTCAAAGGCATCCTCAGCTACGCGATATTTTATCAGAGTATCGTTGTATTCGAGGGATACAATATCGACTATATCAATTCGTGCGATGATTCTTGGAAAACTATTTATTCGCCAAATATGGAAATATTTTCCGAATGATTTTATAAACTCTTTTTGTCCCTTCTCCCTTCTCTTTCTCCCTTTTTTATTTTTTCTTCTATTTTTTATTCACATATTCGTTCTCTCAAAGGCATCCTCAGCTACGCGATATTTTATCAGAGTATCGTTGTATTCGAGGGATACAATATCGACTTTATCAATTCGTACGATGATTCTTGGAAAACTATTTATTCGTCAAATATGGAAATATTTTCCGAATGATTTTATACCATAAAACGATAGAGCACTCTATGCTCTATCAGGGTTTTTCGAGTAACTTCGAAGAGATATATCCTGGCAAAAGGAGAAGAACAAAGTACGATTGCGAATTGAATTTAATTTTACCCGGGGAAGATTAGCACTGTGCGTTACGGTGAGAAAGGCCAGGAGAATTTACCCTGTTTGAAATATTGCCTCTTTGGGTTCTTTTTCGAAGAAATATGTTTCACGGAAATTTCGACGGGCTGTTAGGTTCAAGTGACGAAATGAAAAGTCACGGGAGATAGAACGAAACAAGCGCGGCAGCAGTTGGCACGCATTCATAAGGACCGCGTCCAGCATGGATGAATTTTATTAGGTTCTTTATGACGCACTTTGTGGCAATGAGCCGATCGTAAAATCGTGCATTATCGCGAAGCTAAAGCTCCGTGATTTATAAACTGTCTTTGCCCGATACTCGAGCGTAAGCAGATGGTGTCGATTAGGCTAGATTATATATATAACGTGGTCAACTTACGGATCGCAGAAGATGCTCGTGACAGCCGCACTTGCCGATTTCTGAAACAGGAAAACGAATGTACGTCGTTATTCTCAACGAAAGGATAATTTATCAGGCTATACAAAAATATTATTCCACTCGATTCGAAATTGCGATACGATAAAAATATCGGTAGCTATAGTGGTACAGTAGTATGCTATAAGTAGTATAGCGATATAGTATCGCTAGTTGCTAAACTAATCGCGTATATTCCGACGCGAGGTAGCTTAACGCAAACGTTGCGGCAGCCATATTTTATCTATCAGAAATACGCGTCGGCCATTTTGCATTGGTATTATTCCAAGTATCTTACGTGAATGGATTAACGGTAAACGTATCAAGGCTGAAATGATAGTTTTCAAATTTTTCTTAAAACTTTGCCAGCCACTCACTTCTCGTTGGCGAATTTTGCGTGGGTTTTACTACTTGCTGATGGTCATATTTACCCCATCCGTCGTACATGCGGTATGGTTATTATTTAAAAAGGCACTAATATTTGAGACTAACGGAACAAGCATCTACTTGTGAAGAATGTCGAGAAAAGACGATCGGGACAGTTTAAACAGAAGCATAGTGGAAGCATTGTGTCAAGCTGAACCGAAGTCACGCCTGCGTGACAGCGGCCGTCAAAGTGTTAAATTTTCCTTATAATGCACTTGCATTCCATATCTTCTCCCAATTTTCAAATCAAATTCCTGTAAATTAACTATGGTCATGAAAGGATGATGACAGGCCTGTTAGAGGTTGCAGGGCAATGCCGATCTTTAGACTTCGAGGCCCTTCGATACTATGCAGGCATCAAGAGGTCGGATTTTGGGTCTAAAAGGGCCTGCTGTCTCTTGCAGCAGTCAGTTTCAAATCCAGAACAGTGTAGAACGCTTTTAAAGTATTATGGCTCATTTTTATATTCGCATAAGTGTATATATTTTATCTATATTAAATTTTACATATATATTGCTGCACAACTGAATACAGTTATTGTGAATAAATGGATAAACTGATAAGAAAATTTATTTAACACAATAACAGCACAACATTAATTATAACTAAATCTCGTAAAATAAATTCTAACTGCGATATAATCACTCGAGGGCACTCTCACACACAACGTCTATATGTAACGACTGTCATTTACCTACTGATTGCTTTTTCGCGACTCTCTGTCATACTCGTCACACACACAATCTTCCACACAAACATTCCACACACTCATAAACACGTTCTATGACAACCACTACCACAGTTACTTCCCTGCAGGCTAAACGCTTTGATTTCCTTCTCGAAATTCCAACAGAAATAAAGAAAATAATAGTTTTGGGGTCACCTAACAAATATCTGGAAAATATTTATTACGATACATACGATATCATGTTAACAATAATAATTTGAAGAATAAACTGATAAAAATATATCGAATATTTCCCCGAATAGATTAAAAAATTGTACAACTCTGAATCGTAAAAATAAAAAGAAAAGATATACTGAGAGATTAATAATTGTAGAAAATTTCGAACGTTTACGGAAAAATAAATTTCCCTCGCGGACCAAAGTGTCGTCATACATTTCACCGTTCACGCTCCTCCGCGGTGAGAACGTACGAGAGGTATTTTTGAGTAAACGTTTTCCTACAATTTTCCCGCACACCCAGATGCCATTTCGTGCCAGTATTACCGCATAGACCCCGAGTGCAACGGCGCAGGGTAACGCGTAAACTTTCCACTTTACACTGTCTCCTTATTTTTTCTCCAAAAGCCCATACGCCGTTCTACGTTTCGATACACTCCGTATATCGATACTTTTACGCGTGCCTATACACCCTAACTTCCCGCGCGACCGCATGCCTTTTTGTCAATGGTTATAAATTGTCGGCAAATTGCAGCGACTGAAATACGACGCACTCGCGTCGATGTTGAAACGCGAGGCGTTCGAGCCATTGGCCTTCGACGATGCGATCGCATAAGCCGACGCGATGCCCCGCGTATGAATTTTAGATTCGCGAATAAAAGGTTTCCTATGAGAATCAAGTGCCATGTAATGGGACAAGTGGATATCCATGCTGGGAAACCAGCTGAATCGTGGCAATACCCTCTTCCTTCCTTATCTGTGTTTGGTTATCATAATTGGATTATAACACACAAGCAGGTCGTTTGATTATTACTTACAGAGGATTAAAAGGTGTTGAATTATTCAGAGGAGGAAAACAAAATAAAATAAGACAAAATTGTTGGTATAAACTATAGGGGTACAATGATGATGTCGGGCGTGCTAGACATAGCAAACCAGTAGCGAATTTTGGGGACCATTGATATTGCACCAGTGTCCAAAGGCTTTCTGTTTTTCGGAATCATTCAACTAAAAACCTAAAGAATGAAGCATGTTAGTTGTTACAACCCTTATGAACACATATTTTGCGGTATTATTGTTGTAGTATCGCAGAATTTCCACCTCGTGTTTAGGTGACTTTAGTTTGGAAGATATAAGAGAAGGCAAAAGTGCTTAGTGAACAGATTTTTGCGTAGAGAGGAGTTATTAGTTGTTAGTTGTTTAGTTGTATTTTAGTTGAAACAAGCTGAGTTGTAATTGTGTTGTAGAATCGAGTTGTAGTCTTAAGTTGTAGTTGATATATAGATTCGTATGCTTAATCGTCACCAGACATTGTTAATCATCTATTCTTGTTGTTAATTAATAAATAGTTCTATTATTTTACCACCACCCAAGTCTCGACATTATTCAACAGGAAATACCATACTATCGACTCCGTACCCCAGGTAAAACACGATTTTTTGAAGCTTGGCTTGAAGGATAATATATAAACTTAAGAACTATTTTATATTAGCATGCGTGTTTTCCTATGTATAGAAAGGCACGAAAACTATTCAGCTTTTAATTTTAAGCGTCACGCCCTATAAGACTGAGGGGGGTGCGTTTTTGAGGCCTACGAGTCTAGGCTAGAATAAAATATTTAGCCACCAAATTAAACCCCTTTTGATTAAAATCTCCTACAATTATATAACTGTATACGATTAGATTCCTGCGTATTACAGTAAATTTTACATTTAAATTCGGGAATTAGAAGAAAAATGAATCGCTGACGATAAGAATTATCTGAAAAATTCGTACGAAAAAGAATAGAAATAAAAGGAGCGAGAAGAGGTTATCTCTTTCCAACCCTTCGGGTTCGCCACGATCCTTTATTCGTTCCAAAATTCCAGCCAAGCATTTCATCTGTCGAATAAAGCGTGAAAGGCATCCACGGAGAGTGCGAAAGCGTGAGAGGCGTTTGCAGAAACATACGCGGCATGATCCGCGAAAGGATCGCCGGTTATGACTGTAAACACGGAAGAATGGCTGACAGTCAAACGTCGAACATGAAGTTTAGTTGAAAAAGTGGAGGAGGGTGACAGTCGTCGGTGGTTAAGATAGCTTCCATTGTTCCGACCGGTTTTTTCCATTTTTCCCACCGGTGTCCGTCACTTGCATTTCAGTTACACGCACACACGGCCACAAGATTTCAACGGAGCTGCAGGACAGAGCAATTCAATAGAGGGAAATCAATTTCGTGCCTAGCAATTTGCTTTTCACCGCAGTGATCGCGTCCGGATAATACCGGCGAATCGGTGATTGTTTTGCGATAAGACAAACAACGCGGCAAGCGACACCAAAAATTCTGCCCGCCTTCTTTTGAATATTTTATAACATCATCTGGCAGGCTTTGTTCCGTTCGTTGCTTGTACAAACAATTCCACGCGCCGTTTTAATTATTCCGCCATTCTCTCTCTTTCTCTTTCTCTCTACACCCATTTCCTTGCCTAACGGTAGAAAATTGGTAATTAACGGCTGAAAATGCTCTGGCTTTTGCATTCTTTTATCCACTCTCTAATAACTGACAACGAATAAAGAGATTAAATACTCGATGGAGTAGAGTCGAATAGAATAAAATATACGCGTACGATTGCTTGTAAGTGATAATTAACGCGTTCAGCCCGACGCCGATATTGCTGTCCTTTCTGTTCAGCCAGCAACGAGTGAGCACTTGGGCGACATTTCAGATGGAAAAGAAATATCAGTCACGTCATTTCGAAGACAATTGGTGGATGCACTTGCACAAGAATCAGATGAGAAAATTGCTATGTATATTGAAAAAAGAATTGTTAACCAATTACGAAAAGAAGGAGACATACACAAAATCTGAAGATATTGTTCGGGATGATACTATAAAAATTTAACGCTATTCGACAATGTATTATCATATTTATGTTTAGAGTGTTTCAATAAATATCATTAAAATTATTTCATTTATTTCCTAACTTTGATACTGTCGGTCTCAGGGACCCTAGGGATCTTAGGAGGACCTTAGTGCAATATTTTAAGTAATTAATAGTTAAATTGGAAGTCAGCTACGCCTATGCAACGATGACGACAGGCCTGTTATAGGTTGTATATACCGACCTTTGGACTTCAAGGGGTCGATTTTGAGGGTTTAAAAGGGCCTGCTGCCCCTCGGAGCTCTTCACTCTCAAATCAGAAATACTACGGATATCATATATATTGTGACCCACAGTGGCATTAAAAAAGACTCTAGTCATCATTTGTATATTGCATAAAGTGTATAAATTTCACGTATATTAAACCTTAATAAATATAATTGCTGTATAACTGAATACAGTTACTTTCCTGCACGTTAATCACTCGGCTATTTCCTCCACGAAATTCCCAACAAAATTAATAGTCAAATAAACCTGTTATGCTATTAAAAGAGAGTTGTTTATTAGACACGCAGATCTCTGTCAGCATAGGATTAATTTCCCAAGAAATCCCACAAGAGTAAAAGTTCTTATCGAGATTTATTAACCCGATTTTACCGCAAACACTTACTCTTATTATCTCGGTTAAACGAGACAGGAATCTCAAGAATTCATGCCGAATTCTTTTAATTAGCTCAACATATTTGCTTCAGCGGGGTGATAAAATAGCACTGGTATATTCGAAATGTCAAAGGTTGGTCAGAAAACCGAATAAC